AGTGAATTGTTTATAAAATTTGGAGAGATGTATTGATGGTCTTGAGACACATTTCCTCAAGTAATGTTTTAATCATCTTTAATGGAATTATAGACCCCATAGCAGTTACCATGGATGACATTTAGACACAATAATTGGCACATTAAGGTGTCACCAATTATCTGCTCTATTTCTCGTAAAGCTCAGCGCCTCGTAATTTATCTATACCTTAAATGACTGTAATTAGAAAAGATAGTCCAGAGGATTGGAAGGAACTTTCACCAAGCACAATATCCCTCAGGTATGTGGTCAAACATGTGGGCGCATTTACGTTACCATTTTATTTTATTATTTAAGAAATCAGTTAAAGATGGAGGAATATGTTTAAGAGTGAAGTGCGTAGGCCTATTACTTCTTTCGTCCTAATGTTCATGTCAGAATAGGCCATTTCATGTAAACAAAAAAATTTGTTAAGATCAGTACTAAATTGCTTATTCATCATAGTATTTTGAGCTTAATTGATTTTAAGTACAAAGAGTGAAAACGCCAGCTTTAAATTAGTCAACATTCGGACAGCTAGCGATTGAAAAAATTGATTCAATTACTCCAAGTGAAATTATGATACTCTCCTCTCAGCAAGAAATACATGTATGAATTGATTCCTTGAAATCCTGTCCAAAGCAAATGATGTTGTTTTTGATGACAATTCTGAGAATATATTATCTGTGTCTGTGCGATACATCCTTTTTACAGTTTTACCCAGATGTACATGTATATAAATAATAATACTGTTTGCACAATTAGTTCTTACGTGTGGTATAGGAAAAAGGACATTCCTTGCTTGTCTTTAAGACCTTTCTGTTTTTAAGTCAAAATATTAAAATATTAAATATATTGATTAAACTCCAATTAGCATACTGATCAAATGAACATTTTAATGAAGGATGAATGTGATCTGACCTGTGATGAATCTATTTCCTTTATTTACTTCCCTTTAAAAGGAACTCAAAAAATCTTAAACTATTTTTCAATAACATTTTTACATTAACTTTTGGTGAATTGCTGAGAATCAATATAAAGCAACTGTCATATTCAATTTGTGAATCTGTAAACGCATTTTTTCTTTTTTCAGAAGCCACACAATGTTGAAACAGGTGTTGTGCCTTGCCCTAGTGGCACTTGCAGCAGCCCAGAATGTTGATGGTGAGTTAATCATTTTGATATTTGACAGTTAAATTCAAATGGTAGGCCCCACACATAACTGAGTAAGTACACAGTGAAGAGAAGAAGAAAATTGACCTAACGTTTTCCTCTCATTTGTAAATGATCTGACCTCTCTCGATTGATGATTCTACCATTTTAAGCAGAGTTTATTTTACAAAGCGCAATGTTCTTTAAATGAGTATTGTTCATCATCGGTTCACTTTGTCAATAGAGCAGTGCGGGACGTGCGTGGTGGATGGCGGTCCTTTGACTGAGAATGGTGCCGTTGGCTACACTTACGATCCTGACGACTGTGGCGCATACTGGGTGTGCATTAGGCGCAGTGAGAGAGGTGACGATGGTTGGATGTACGATGTTTTCAGGAGAGCCTGTGCACCTGGAACTCTCTGGAACCAGGACGTTCAGTCCTGTAGCCGGTGCTACGACGTGGCAGTAATTTGCGAAAACTCTGGTCCGAAACCTCCCCTTGGCTCTGACCAGTGCGACAGATGCAAGTATATTGGACCGCATTCCATATGATAATACACTTAACAATATTGTGGAGATTATTAAAGATATGACAGGTTTTTCATTATCTGTGTAAGAAAATTGATAATGACGTTTATGATGTACTGAAACTTCACTTCCATTATCATTTTAGACGTAGACGGTACAACGCTGCCTCCTCCGCCTCCAGTGGAACAGCCAGACCGTTAGTATTATCATTTTTAACATCTTCTCTTTTTAACTGGCTTTCAATTGTTGGGGTTAAGAAGATAAAATGTATATTCTCACTAGATACATGATAAACATGATTCTCCTACAAATAATCTTTTGGTTAAATTTTTGCTAACCTTTTTATCTGCATTAATAATGTTTAAAGATTTTGAAATTTCAAAGATAATAAACGTTGCCAGTCACGAAAAACAGATATACATTGATTGAGTGCATCCATTTTACTTACAGATAACTGCACTGACGATGCCGGTTTGATGAAGTCCTCAGTAATTGGTGAGGCAAGCAAATTCTTTATCCATTATCCCAACCACGATCCTCTTGGTCCAGTTTCCTGTGAGCCTTACAACTTCAGCCTGTCGCTTTGCAAATGCAATGCCCCTGGTACGTACTTTTTTGAAAAATATCTTAAAGATTTATTTGAAATTAAGAAAAATATTAATCCAAATAACTTCAGACAAATAGACCAAAAAAGATTAAAATTTGGGCTATATAACATGAGGACCAAATATTTGGGTAAACAAATTATGGCACATGCCAAATTGCTTATTTTTGGTTTTTCTTTTCAGAATATGGTGGCGTCGAGTTCGGCTTCGAGGGCAGCTTCCATACCGGAGGCAACATTTCGGTCTGTCTACCTAACTCTCGTCGCAACGTGTACTTCGTCAACGAGTCCCGGGTTGAGGACCAGTCCGTGTACCTTGATGGCATGGGTAAATGATGGTTCTGATAACTTTTTAAATTTTGACAACACTGTTAAAGCATGTTGTTCTGTGACACCGTTGCGTAACTAATATAATATTAAGGTTATTTATATTAATTAATTTGATAGATGAGCCTATTAATCTTTTTATTTCATAACATATGCTACCTCATACCCTTTATTATATATCTTATGTCTGTCTGTAAAAAGCATGCACCTTATGTTGATTTTTTTTTGACCGAACAACAACGAACCGACTTTTTCAGGGCACATCGAGTGTCTCCTTTTCATACAAAATATCCCAAGGGCACCATTTAGTGTAGCTCTGTGGGTCTATGTGGATCCCATCGTCAGTGATCAAAGAAAAGTGGCTTTGGTCAACAATGCCAAGTGTAACATCGCACCTACCTTTGAGTTGAGCGTGCAGGGTGGAGTGGTAGTTGTTACCATTGTGACAGACAACGGTACTTTCTCAGCAAGCGGACAGTTGGTAAGTCAGACCATGATGGTCTGGTAGCATTCTGCTTTGTTAAAACACTTTTGACCAATAATAAAAATCTACTATATGAATTTCAATAACAAATAACATAAGTACATATTTAAAGTTCAATGCTTCTCTGTGTGGAATACCCTAAATTAGGGTGTTCGAAGTGGGATATTGGCTGCTTCAATACAACGTTTTCTGTTGGTTTCAGAGCGGAGCTTACCAGGGTGAGTGGCACCACTACCGTGCCTCTTACAATGGCGCCATCCTTTCACTGGACCTTGAGGGTTCTTTGGCCGCTGAGGTCCTTGCAGACGGTAAGATTCATATAACTGAATAACCGTTTGCCGTAACAGATGCACATCTGTAATAATGTTCTTCCCATTGTTTTCTTTTATACATTTAGTATTTATTATTTATTTATCATTTTTTAATTAATTATGTTTTACATGACTTTAAAAGATCTGGGAAAACAACAGTCTTTTCTGAAAATTGTTTGGGGCAAGTATTTTAATTTTCGAATCCTGACTTTTTCTTCTGCTGTTCATATTGTTTGCGACGATCTCGGTTACATAGTGAAGTTTGATTGCAAAAATATCGCATAACTCTAGGTGATTTGTTGAGCAATGAGGCCGCATGGGTCGTTGGCTTGAACTGCTATCAAGATACTCAGCAAGGGGCACCTACATCTTCTCTCACTGGATATGTGAACCAGGTGAGCATTTCCTAATAGACCATTTACTATCTTTAATGTTACATTTCAGCTGAAACTAAATGTTTCTCATCAAATACTGAATAGTTAGGTGGAGGAAATGCGAGCAATTTTATGCTTATCAGTTTCTCTCAAAACCACAGTGCGTGATGTAAAATTCTGTCTCTTTTTCAATTCCAGCTTTATATCGGCTTCGAGGAATACATAAGGCCTTAGAGAGAAACAGGTTTATTGACCAGACATGCAAGATATTTATGCTAGATATATTGAACTGGTATTTCTATATCTGGAACGACTATTTCACAAGTAATAGACGTGTTGTTGATGACGGACAGCGGGCACATGCATTCTGATGTGCCCCAACACGAGAGCTACCCAATGCACTTTCTCTGGAGGATATTAAACCCCTCACGTATGACTCAGTATTTTGACATTCGTCATAATTCAGGATGTGCGTGGAGGAGATTTAAATGCTTTTAGACTTTATTAACAATGCACCGAAGCGTTCAATGCTTAACCACTAGATTTCCAAACTCGTCTAGACAATTGACTTACTAACAGGTGTTTAAAACCGACTTTTTAACGAAGAACTTCTAACTGAATTTGTTAATTGTACATTAAATAACGACATTAAGCCAAATGGCTCCATGTTTCGCCTTTTTCATTGCAATTCTTTTCTAATTATGCTCGAAACTAAATTGCGTGCGCAGTCAACTAACACATGAATGTTTGTTAACGTCATCTCACAGAATATTAAGATAGCATTTTTTTCATTGTATTTTATGGAGATCTTATTCTAATTATTCATTGTTTTTGAGAAAATCTTGAAGTTCTTGAGGAAAAAAAGAAAGTAGCGACTTAAGAATTCACCAAATAATCGGTCGATTACTATTGAAGCAAACCAGATGTGGAGTGTTATCGTCTACATGTATGTACTGTCATCTATTCGTGAATGAAAATTAACTTTTTTAGTGTAAGAATTTTGATATTCTCATCAGTAAACTATTTTTTCTATTCAAATTAATTGTTTTCATCGAATATTTACATTGCGCGTTAATTTTTCCCTTAAAGCACATTTTATACCCACTTTGGTTTTCTTCATTATTAGTAATTATACATTTGTTTGCTTGTTTGCTTGAATTTTTAATCGATTTGTAAGTGTCTATGCCCTTCATCTATTGCATATAAGCTTGATATTTTGCATCATTGTGATACGACCATATTGAGTTTGGAGCTGAGTATTATTAAAAGATTCTGAAAAAAATTAGACCCAGAAGCACTGAGATCACATGCTTACAGTTTGGGACTATTGTTTTTGTTTGTGAAAACATACACGAACCGGTTAAACTGTGATATGAATATCAAACATTTACATAAAACGAAGTCATATTTCATCATTCTAACCCTTGGTTACAGTTCCGTCGTCTAGATGTACAGATGAGTGTGGAAGAAATCCTTTACGCCATACTTATCGGATGTGCCATAGGCTTGTCAAACAGCCAAGATGCCACCGTCGGTATGTGTATAGCGTGCATGCTAATGTTATCGAACATGGGCAATCGTGTGGCGAATTAGTTTATTCACTAATGATCTTTGCCATTATACCTATACGGGATTGCTGAGATGTGTCAATTTTGCACGTGAAAATAAGCAAAGTATGATTTTACCATTTATAGAGATGCATTCACATTTAGGTCTCCTGCATTCCTCACTCCCATTAATATGTGACAGGGGACATTTTGAACAGGCGCCATTTAATTGTTGCTCTACAGCCTCCACATTTCTACTTTACATTAGACAACTGTTATTTAATACCCAGTGTAGCAATACTATCTTATATTGAATTTCAATTATTTTTCCAAGTTTTAAAATAACCCTACAGAATGAATTTAGTATGTTTTTAATTATTTGAATCACAGGCGTATGTTTATTTCCACAGAAATAATGCATAAACTGTGTTCCTAAACAACGATTCTTTTTTTCCACAACTGTTGCACCATCTTTAGGATGATTGTAGGACAATCCACAACCACCCCAGACACCCTCACCCGAACAGTCCACCCTCCCCCCCCCCCAAGACAATTTCCCCCAGACATTTCCTCGCCTTGGCCAAGGACAGGCAATTTGATTAAGGGGGAATGATAAAACAATTAAAAGTGACAGTTACTTCCGGAAAGGAACACCTAGATGAGTGAGAGTATGTGTTTAACCCACTTTAACTAGAGACACTTTTTTTTAATGCGCACATTTTTTTTACTTATTATCACAATTATCATTCACATTATTATATTCATTATAGGCGAGGGGAATTGTCTGGGGGATGCGGGGTTGTCCAGGGGGAATTGTCAAAGGATGTGTGTGTCCTGATACCCTTTATGTAAAGTTGATAACTATAACTTCTTATTGGATACGATGCCACTAAAATCGAGCTAATTGGAAGTACAATAGCCCAAACATATACATGTATTTAAGAATGAAAAGGTTGCTATCTTTATTTGCAAATGAAACTAAAATAATGACATTGGCATTGTGAACGCCAATGATTCTAAAAAATATTAATACTTCTGCATAAATTAATTTTGTGCTCAGGGTGCACGGGGGAAGCCGACATCGTATTTCTTGTACATTCCTCAAACAGTCTGGGGAACAGTGGATTTCGACAAGAACTAAATTTCGTGCAGCAGCTTATAGTAGGGTTCGATATATCCCCTGATTTGGTGAGGGTTGGACTGGTGACATTTTCATCTTCCTCTGAGCTACGGTTCCCGTTGAACAGATACCAAGATGTCCAAGGGCTGCTTAAAGCAGTCAAGGCAGTACCTTTCAAGAAAGGCAATGCAGCAACGCACATGGCTTTCTTACGAACCAGGGCCCAGGTATTCCAGCGAGGCTCGGGAGATAGACGGAACGTCACCAACGTTATTGTCCTTTTGACGGGTGAGCAATCCAGATTTCCAGACAGAACTTTGACGGGCGCTCGCCAACTTAAGAATGACGGTGCAATCATCTATGCAGTCGGAATCGGCAATAAGGTATGACCCTTTACCATGAGAGTTCTTTGATTTTTTAATGGTTACGTGTATTTTTGTATCGCCATCTATCACAATAAACGTACCCCAATGTAACTTTTAGTTTACTTGTCAAAA